CGCGCGGACGGGCTGTCCCCCTGAAGCAGCTGACGTGAGGTCAAGAAACGTGCTGAGGAGCGACTGGCCGTCGGCGGGCGCGTGGGGGCAGCGGGCCGCCGGTGCGCCCCTCTCCTGCCTGTACAAACGCCGACTGCCTCGTAGAGTAATCTGTCCTTTTAGCGTAGCGTTGCGAGTACTAAACGCTTCTGCGTGAAATAACAGTACCAGATAGCCTCCCTGCAAGCTGCGGTAGTGGAGGGTTTTTTTCGTGAGCAATAAATTTCAGTCATGAGATGAGCAGTACGGAAAGATGTCATGGAAAGTTACCGGCCCTAATGCCATCAACTCCTTCTTATAACGATAATCTATTTACCTGACTGTGTGCTAATGATTGTTATTTATGGTGTATTTATTTTCTGAACAAAAGGAAAAGTGAAATTTTTGTAAGTGTGCAGTCAATCTTTAATTCCTCCCTAGAGCATCTTGCAACTGTTGACTTGTTCTCACCAAATGAGTTGAATTTTGAAACTGAGATTACCAAAAACATAAACGATACGTCCTGCCTTCCTCTTTAACGTCATTTGACTGTGTAGTTGCTCTGCTCTCAGCTGCAGGCGTTTGTCCTGCAGACTGAGGTGAGAATTTTTTTCCCAGTGTTATGTCACTATTTTTCCATCTTCTCAAATAATTCAGTCTGGGTTTTGGCACAGTTTTTTAATATTTAGTGTTTTCTTCATATATAATTTAAAGTTTGTTTAGCAACAAATGCATAGCAGCAGAATAATTTTAAATGGAATCCACCCCATTCGGCCCCTCCCAGAATAGCTCATTGCTTTAATTTACAGGATTAAGAAGTTCTGAATTGCGTTGTGAAATGAAACAAGTTTTACAATAACAAGAACTTTAAAATGAATATAACAAAAGTCCTTATACAAATGCTAGACTTGCTTCAAAATCAGCTGATATTTAGCCAAAAAAAAAAAAGACCTATGGCAAGATATTTATAGCTAATGTAAAAACTACTGCATGAGTTATGAGGATACTATAATATCACATCCTTATAAAGCAAATGATAGCGGAAGTCTGCAACATGCAAAATTAATACACACATGCAGCCTGAAGCAGGAATCTTATGAGTGAGAGAAATGAGAATTTTTAACTGAGAAAAATTAGTTTACTATTCCCCACAATGTGATGAGCTAAGAGCACAGTTTTATGGTAGCAGACATTTCATCAGCACTTTTCCTATGTGAGTTTGCTCAATAATTTCTTCTATTTTTGTACACTTCTGCTTTAGAACATGCAAGTCAGACTCATGAAAGGTTTAAAACGCTGGCGTTCCTTGGACTTCAGTGAAGTTATGTTATTTTCCAGCATCTTGGGAAGCCATTCATGAGAATGGAAAAAGTAAAGGCCATGCAGTCCCTCTTCCCCTTTCAGTTCCTACATGGTAGCCAGAAGATGAAAAGACCTAGTTTCATTTTGAGTCCATAAATAGTTCCCTGTCCAAAAAAATCCAAAGAAACAAAGATGAAAAGGAAACAATGAGACTAGCAGGCATCTCTGGTTGGTGGGGTTCCTGCAGTACCTATCTTCACAGGCCTGTATTTTAACACAGTGTTTGTCTTTACTGCTGCTTTCCTGTGGTCGCTCCTTAGCGGTTCTGTGTTTGAGAGGGGCTCTGGAAAGCCACCACACGTCGTCCTGGCCAGTGCCTCCCCCTTGCTTTCCGCAGAGAGCTGTGCGAGGGTGCGTCCTTGAGTCAAAAGCCAAGGAAATAGGTGGGGACGTAGTCGTAAAGCCCGTGGCCTGTAGCTCTTTTTTCAGATGAGCAGGCCTAGTGATGCCTCATGCTCGCGTGTAAGAGGCTGGAGGTTCCTGTTTCAGTAGCGATGCTCTGTTTGCTGTGCGAGGAGCAGTAAGGACTTGCTTGTTCTTGGATGCTGTCTCTGCTAAACAAGAGTCCAGCTGCAGCTCTGTTTTTGTACCTCTCACAAGGCTAATTTTCTGTCGAGACTCCAGGACTCGCATGGTAGCTGGGCAGTTATACCCTCTGTTTAGCTATTGAGATCTACCCATTATCACTTGTTTACAAATCTCTCCTGCTGATATCAAGTTAATAATGCAGAAATGGTAGAAGGTAGGAAAAAAGGGAGGAAATGAAAAGGTTTCTTCCTGTTGAGCAATGCTCTCCATTAAATGTCTGTACATTGCTGTTTCTCCAAGGCTGCCAGTAAGCCTAATTTCAGAAATTCCTCCACGTTTTTAGGATCCCTTTAGCTCATTATAATTTTGACAAATCACTGTGTCAATTGTTTGCAAGCAATTGCTTAAATTCTTATCAACACCACCAAAGAGTCTCCAGTTGTTAAAGACTGTTTTTTAAGACTCTAGTGGTTTAAATGTGACAATACTTTTGCACAGGGCAGAGGAAAAGCTTGAACACTGAAAAAATCAAGAGGCCGTTTACCTTTATACATGGTGTCTGGAAGTCGACAACAGTCACAGATTTCACAAGCACTTGTGTCTATGTGTAGGACCACTGGGGTGGTGGAAATTACCTTATGAAGTCAAAGGTCTTGAGTTTGCACTACAGCTCTGCAGAGGTTTGCGTATCCCATCACAGAATCTGAAGTGGGTCTTGTGATATTTATCATTTCAGTTATATGAAGACAGCAAGATGAGACTTTTTTTTTAAACCATCTTTTTGAAGCAGTTACCAAAGAAAACCTTTGCAACAGCTTATCTGGAATGAGCACCTGTTTGCACTAACACATATGCAGGCTCAAAGCACTTCCAAAGAGAAAACTGCTCGTAAGAACGAAGTTGCAAAAATGCCTGTGGACTCTGCTGTGCCTCCGTTCTCCCAGCATCTCTGCCAGCCAGGATTTGTGCGCAAGCTACTGGCAGACGTATACTCACAAGTACAGCAGTGCTGATGATAGTATGATTTTTGGGT